AATAAGCCCTCAGCAGCAACCTGCATGTTCTTATTTTCAAGACTAAAAACAGTTGGAGAGAGTTTTGGGTGCCTATGATTTGTCCTGGAGTCACTGGTTCTCAGAGGGAGACTGTTCTGAGAGATTCTGAGATGTATCAGTCTGTGTGAGGACTGACCTTACAGGTAATGTTGCTTACGGGTAGAGTGGCAAGAGGGTCTCTGTTGGTTTTGCTTCCACTTCACTTATTTCTAATGACTCTTTACCACCACCACCAAATGTTACCTTCCATCTGTATGACTTTCTCAATTGTCTAGTATTCATCAAGAAAGAAAACGCTGACAAGTTCTTGGAAAGAACAAAACGTGCTAACTCTTTTTTGGAGGAACTGAAGCAAGGGAATATTGAAAGAGAATGCAATGAGGAGCGCTGCTCAAAAGAGGAAGCAAGAGAAGCCTTTGAAGACCAGGAGAAAACTGTAAGGATGAACTCATATGAGACATAGATCTATATATTTCATGTTTACAAAATAGTATTAAGGTCTTTTGAGGTGGGCATCAGAACTTACAAGTTGCTATCAATCATTTAACACAAAGAATAAACAGTGGTTTTGACTGGATGGAATTGCTAAGGCATAAACATACAATAACAGTCTTTATTTAGCTCTTGCAAGGCCAGCCTGTGTTAAAGCCTCCTTTCTTTTACCTGTTCTGATCTGTGTAATTGCTGTTGTGAAGTATTTGACCTTTAAATGATTTGATACTACCCATGTTAGAAATATGTTCACCCTATCTGGGTGGCATAGCTGAGCGTCATGACTATGTTCAAGGGTTCTTAGGTGAAGAGTCCATGGGAAAGTTGAGAAGGCAAATGCTAACATGGAACTTCATGTGAGAATCTCGCCAAACTTCTCTCAAGCAGCTTTGCCGTGCTTATCATTTTGTGGCTCTCTTCTTCACTATCTGAATTGACGGAATGTGTATTGTGGACAGTTCTTATATGCCTTAATGTTAAATTGCCCACATGGAATGAAGTGCGTATGTGTAACTCTTGTGTCACCTTCCCTACCCTGATGGCTGCTTAACTTTAGACAAAAATACTATCTGTTCGCAAGCTCAAGAGAGAGTTAAAGAGATGGGGCAACTGGGATTAGTAGAAAAGGAGATGTTTGAAAACGTGAAATGACTTGGTGGTGGAGGGGAATTGGGAACATCAGCTGTAGTTACGTGGCTGTTATGAACAGCCCTGAAACAGGAGTTAAGGCCAGATTCATTTCACTTTAGCTCTACTTGATGGCCGGAATGAGGGTGACAGAGCACTGGAACAGGCTGCCCAAGAGAGGTTGTGGAATCTCCTTCTCTGGAGATACTCAAAACCCACCTGGACACGATTCCGTGCAACCTGCTGTAGGAGAACCTGATGATCTCTAGAGATCCCTTCCAACCCCTACCATTCTGTGATTCTGATTCTTGGAGTGGCCCTGAGATGACCTGGGTGAGGAGTCATGGGTGCATTGCCAGGGTACTTCAGAGCATAAAGATTGGCTGATCTATAGCAGAACCAGCACAGCCTGTTCTGCCTGTTGATCAGATGTCATTGAAAAGGACTGTCTTGGACAGACAGCATACCTGGAGTCCTCAGTGCAGAGGGAAAGAAGCACACAAATTGGACAAAATATTTTTAAATCTCAGGACTTCTGAGGTCCTGATTGATGGGGCCGCGGAGGGGGATGGAGACCGAGAATTTGGCATTACAGGAAGGTAAGTAAATTCAGTCAAAACTGATAGAAGGATACAGTTATGCAAGAAATCAAATACTTTATGCTGAGTGAGTCACATTAGGAAATCTCTAAGGAGTTTTAGATATTTATGATAAATGCATGAGACTTGTTTCTGTACAGCTGGACACTATAGATGGATCATATGCTTTTAATTTATTAAATGGTAATAGTAGGCTGCAAGGCACTGTATGTGCCTGTAACTTAAATATTTGTTAGCTGCAAGTATCCTCTGTATGAAAGCTCTAATATTCTTCTGAGGAATTCAGTAATTCTCATCTGACTTTTTTTGTCTTCTTTTATTCCCTTTTTCCCACACTTATCTGTAGGAGGAATTCTGGAACGTCTATGTAGGTAAGAAACACTCTGCATTTGTTTAGACAATTAAGCTCCCTTATTGCAAGGTTAAAAAGGATGCACCTCTTAAGTAACCACTTCCTGCTCCCTTGCTTCCTCTCTTTCCACCGTAGGACACCCTCACTTTGTGTTTTCTTTGAAGAAGGAATCTGATTTACTGCCTTGCTGTTGCTTGAACCCAGTCACTTCATTCAAAGGCAAGGTTCAGCTGCCTCCAATTGTTGGGACGATCTTTGTCCTCTCAAAAAAAGAATAGTGGCCCTTTGCACGCCAAGGACAGTGAGAAGCAGAAGCTGGGCGTGTGACTCTGCCGGTCAGTTGTCCTCCAGAGGGGCAGCCCCAGATGGAGGAATTTAAGATGCAAAGAGTCATAGATGAGGATGGCACTGAAATGCCGTAGCCAACACAAAGTTATTAAACTGTATTGCAGTCGCTTGCCAGTTTGGTGTCATCTTCCATGCCAGAGTGCTGTTGATTCCTGTATTTTGTGGGATGTGTTTTCTACAGACTTGTTTGTCATACAAGGAAGATGTGCCAGTAGATTAGCAGATACTAGCCATCAGTCTTTCCTGTTTTTTGGGTTTTTTTTTCTTTTTTTTTCCCTAAAGGTCTGAAATGTATTTATTAGGGTTCTAGTGTTCGTAATCACTATGGAGGGACAGATTTTTAATGCAGTAGTGTTTGGTAATGTGTTCTCCAGAAAGTACGTGTTCAGCTTGCGTGTTAGGAGGAATGCCTCAAAAATGTTGACCAAAGACAGCTCAGCTTTGTCTTTTAGAGTCTGCAGAAAATTGAAGACAGTTGCCACAAAGAAAATGCAAACTTTCACAATCCTCTAAGTGGGGGATGAACTCTGCAACCTACAGGCTGAAATTTCAAGCAAAGCCTGCGTCAGTGTTGCAGTGAACAGGAGTGGAAAATTTCAAACCATTTCCTCGTGAGAATACAAGTAGCAGAACTTCAGTGCCAGTGCTCTTACAGAAATGCCAATTTCATACATTTTAAACCGCAGTCCACGAATGCTTTATTGGTGTTCAGAAGTATTGAAAACCACAGCTACCCTCAGCCAAGTTACTAGAGCAATTCATTCTTGCTTCCTTTTTTAGTAGGGGGTTCTGCAATGCTTTTGTGCAATATTGATATATTCATTACCACAGCCGCAACTACAGTGTAGGAAAAAACTAAACAAGTACAGTTTCTAACAGTAGGACGCTGCTTAGCTAGGTCCAGGAGCTGTGCTGCAGGCTTCGAGTCCATCTTTTGGTAAATGGTCGTCCCTCCTTCCCTTTGTTGAGGGTGGATGTTAGTCTTCACTGCCTCTGTGGTGGACCACACAGATGCAGCATCTGGAGCGCTTTTGGTTTTGGCCACTGCAGGTACAGAAGGGATGCTGAGCTGTGGGGGCAGTACACAAAGCCCAGCAGATGTTCCTTGTGACAGATAAAGCTGCAGCAGATGAGGTCACAGGCCAGAACCGCCTTGCAGGTGGCAAGGTGGATCCTTAGGATGAGTGGCTTCTTGGATCTTGCCTCCTCTCTTGGCGTTGCCGTTCTTCCAGCTGCTCCAAACAGGGGCAAAACAGGTGGTAAAACACAAAAATTTGAAGAGCATGTATCTGAAGCAACAAATTATTATTAAGCAAGTGCCACTTCTCTGGATGTCCTGCTTTTTTTATCAAACAGCACAGAAGAGCCCAGCAAGGTCATGTGATGGGGAAATGCATTTGTTACAGCAGGTCACTAGATGGGAGAGACTGTGGCAGCGAGCATCAGTGCAGGGGTGAGATACCTTTGCGGGTGCAGGAGAAAGGGGTGCTACATGGAACATGTCTCCAAACGCACCGCAGCCTCACTGTCCTACGTGTAACTGGGTTTGTGAGATGGATGTGGCTGGGGCCCGGGAGTCAGGTCAGCCAGTTCTGTCCAGGTTGCGGAAAGGAAGAAAGGCTGCAGAACTGCCTTTTGAATGTGGGAGATCCCAGCATAGATGTGAGGAGCATGAGGTAAGAGCTAATTTTTTGAAGCTCAAGTTCATACCTCAACGGATACAATGGGACAATTTTGGTACTGGTAGCAGCACAAAACAGGAATTTGACCTGCGCACGCAGATTTAGCAGGGCTTTTAAAACATTTTGTTTGGTTGGTTTTTTTTTTCATCCTCTGATTAATGTGCTGGTGTCTGTTTCTTTAAATGAACTGCACTGCAGGCAAAAGACATGCACAAGGGATGAGATGACCTTTAAGGGAATAAAAGTTGAGTTGTCATTATGTGGAGACTGTATGGAAATGCAAGAGGCTGAAAGGTTAATATCTTCAGACATCGGTTGCAATGTGGAAATGTCCTGTCTGCTTTTACAGCCTTCACTGTAAATGATGTATATACTCTGATCATGAAGTATTACTTCCTACAAGAAAAGGCTTGCATATGGGCTGTCATACAGTAGCCACCAAAAACAGATTGCAAAACTGAGGGTATATATATGAATCATTGCTGATATGGAATGAGTGCATTTATACTCCTTGTTCCATCTGGAATGTGGCAACTCACAGGACATACGTTTTAAAAGGAAAGATGAAAGATTGCTTTTTAAACTAACACCCTTTCAAAGTTCACTGAAAAATGCTTGCGCTCTTACAATAATTTGGTTTTTGGTTTGTTTTTATAGATGGGAACCAGTGCAGCTCAAATCCTTGTCACTATGGTGGACAATGTAAAGATGGAATTGGTTCCTACACTTGCTCATGCTTGGATGGTTATCAAGGAAAGAACTGTGAATTTGGTAGGTTTCTTCTTTAGAGAGCTGTGGCAATGAATTTCCCAGGGAGCTGACACAGAGAGAGTTAACGCTTTCTTAATGGGCATTATTTGCCTCTTGAAAAAATACATAGAATAGGATGGCAGTCAACGAGTTGGAGAACAGTGTTGGAGAACAGAAACACAAAGCCCTGGTGGCTCTACAGCTGGGTAGAATCATTGAATAGTTTGGATTGGAAGGGACCATTAAAGGTCACCCAGTCCAACCCCCCTGCAATGAGCCGGGACATCTTCAACTAGATCATATTGCTCAGAGCCCCGTCCAACCGTGAATGCTCCGACGTTATACTCACTCCAAAGAACACCCTCTTAATTATGATAGTGCCTCTTTGCATGAGCTTGAATCCCCAAAATGTGATCAGAATAAGCAGCATAGGATTCTTATAACTGACATCAAAGAGTCTTTACTCCAAGTACAAAGGTAGAGCCTCCCTTCTCAGCTCACAGCAGTGAAGAACCAAAGAAGGCAGATTTCAGTAGACAATGCAGACTTTTTCAGCCTTGCAGGGAATAATTTTTTGCATATAAATCCTTCCCGATTCTCACCTCTGTGACATACAGCTGCTACCCTGATGATGTCATTCAAGTGTGTATTGGTAGCCCAGAAGTAAGAGTGGAGAGCCCAGAGTAAGAGGGTGTGGAACTGAAGTTCAGACACAGGACTGAGGGGAATGATGAGGAGCTGAGTCTTTTAAGGCAGGAGGGAGGAATCGTGGGAGAATTTACCAATATCTGGACTTCTTTGTTAGTGTTTTGTCCATTCTTCCCCTGTCATTTTGTCTCTGCTTTTTTAAGCTCACCATGACATGGCCACTGGGCGCACTTGGACTTGGCAAGCATGTTTCATGCAGTGGATGTGACTGGTCTGTGAGGCGTAAGCTAATGTTAGCCACTCGTGTTGTTACTAAGATGCGCTTCCAGTATTTTACAGGTGGAGATACAGATCCTGTTGAAAGAGTGCAGTTTAATGTGGTGAACTTCAGGGTCTTCTGTGAAGTCAGTGTTTATTTACATTTTTTCTCCAAACTTATCTCTTTTGTAGTCATACCGAAGTACTGCAAAATAAACAATGGCAACTGTGAGCAGTTCTGCAGTGTCAAAAAAAGCGTACAGAAGGATGTTTTGTGTTCCTGTGCAAAAGGGTATGTTCTAGCAGAGGACGGCAAACACTGTGTTTCAACAGGTATGAAGCCACGAAATAAAGTAATAGCAATGGTGGAGACCTGTTTCACAGTTAAAGAATGTCTTTTGAACTATCATTGTTCTACATGACATAGATTTAACACTGAGGCCAACTGATTTATATTTCAAAAGCTTTCCATGTGTGAGGTGATGTGATGGACTTATCAAAATGTAGCTGAATTGGAACCCTTTGCAAGCTGCCTCTCACAGAATTACATGAGTAAACTCTGCTGTTTACCGGAAAGAAGTGATTGCAGTTGTGTTTCATTTGCTTAAACCTACCCTCCATATAAAATAGCAGCTGCCAAAAACTTTTCTGCTTTAAATTTCAGTTAACCTTGGGGGAGGAATAAGTCAACCATGATGTCGGGTTTTGTATCCTTTGTAACTCATAACAAATTGCTGTCATGGGCCATATTATTCCTAAAATAAAACACTTCACTCAGTTTCCTAATTAAGATGGTTTTAGTAAGAGCAAGTACATTAATATAGTAATGTAAACAATTGAAGAAGATGTTTTAAACTTTAAATACTTTGAAAACACTGGCCAGAGACTGAACAATTAAAGAAGGTTTTTTAAATGTTAAATACTTTGAAAACACTGGCCAGAGACTGAACAATTGAAAAAGGTGTTTTAAATTTTAAATACTTTGAAAACACTGGCCAGAGACTGAACCTATGCATGAGTTTTAGGACCCTCGGGTCTTCCTTCTTTGTTGCATCTGCCAAGGTTTTGCTAGTGTTTTGAAAACAGGATAGCTGCATTAACTGATTTACTGTAAGATGGTGTTGTCAGAGAGTTTCCTCTTGTGCTGGTGTTTCTGTCCGTCTCTAATATTAACATTCTTGTCTTTACAGTAAAGTATCCTTGTGGAAAAGTTCTTGTGAAAAGAAAAAAAAGGTCGGTTATTTTACCCACTGATAATAGCAACGTAACTAGTGATCAAGATGGCCCTCCCATAAATGGAACAAGTTTGGAGGAGGACATTGTTACTACCACAGAAAGTCCAACCGTCCGTCCTGGCAATGAAACAAGTGGCAAGACTCCATATGTCGATACCAGGATAGTAGGTGGTGATGAGTGTCGCCTTGGCGAATGTCCATGGCAGGTAAATCGGGTGTTTGTGTTCTGCGTGTAAGCAGAGGGAAAGTGTGCAATTGTCCATTTAACCTGGTTGCCTTCTGAATGGTACCTGTGTAGTATGCTGGAGGTACCTAGGCGCTTAGATGCGCTGTTCTGCAAACTGCAGCCTTAAAATGTCAAAATGAAAGGCTTTGTGCAATTTTAGATAGTGCTGCTTAACCTGTCACCAGAGAGGGTTTTTGGGTCATGCTGGCCTACCAGTGTCATTTTTGCAGGTTATAGTCCAGTTGTCTGTCCATTTAGGCAGGACACCTGAGAGCATGTCAGATAAAGCATGCATTTGCTTCACAGATATGCTTTCATGTCTAAGTTTTTCTCTTGAGTTTGAACTAGTCAAAATGAGTTTCTGTATTCAGGACATTAAGGGAGGAGTCAAACGGGAACAGAACTTCTTTGGGGAGGTAAGTCCAAGGGGTGAGGTGATTTGGGGGCTGCACTCTTCCTGCTCAGTCAGGCACTGTTGTGTTCCTAAAAGACATTACTAAGCATTGTGAGTGAGGTGACATGGAAGCCAAACATCTACATCAGGTAAAGACAATTTAGACTGTGTAGCAGTACATACCAATCTGTAGCATAGGCATATGTGTATGCAATATTAGGAGACACCCGCAGAGTAGTACATGTAGTAATAGGCACATATGTAGTGTGTTGAGAAATCAGTTACCTATTTATAGCTCATTGAAGTTAAACTCCTCTTCTTGGTTCTTCGCTTTTTCTCTTTTGCAGGCTGTTCTGTTAAATGAGGCAGGGGAAGAGTTTTGTGGTGGAACTATTTTGAATGAAAATTTTATACTTACTGCAGCTCATTGCATGAATCAATCTAAAGAAATCAAAGTTGTTGTTGGTAAGTGGTTATTTATTTTGCTCCTGTGATGTTTGAGCATGTGTTGCAGACTAATCTTCTGTGCTCTAAATCTCATGTGAGATGTACTCATATTACTTTATTTGTTACGGTTTGTTACTTTTTTGGTTTTGCTTTGCTTTTTATAATTCCTTGTTATTATCGGAATCCTGCTTTGTAATAGTAGGGGCAGCTGATGTGGAAGGTGATAGTGGTGCATCCCTTTCTTATTTGCCAGCTAGCTGGAAGTGATTAAGAACAAATGTTCTAGAAGTGTTGGCTAGCATTGTGTTCATCAGAGCAGTGCTTCTCCAGAAAGCTTATCATTCCTGGCACATCCAAAGCATGGAGATTTGTTTCTGCAGGAACACTCAGGAAAGCTACAATACATTGACTAGAGGAAGAAGAAATGAACTCAAATTATGACTGCTTCACTTCTGAGGCATGACACTAGATCAACACAACTTTATATTTGCACTGTTTTAGTCTTGGTGCAGACTGGTTTCTCTTCCCTGATATAAGCCAGGCTTGAGCTTCCGTAAGAGCTTTCACCCAAAGTTGCATTAGTTTAGCTGAATCGGTTTATGCCTTTATGTAAACTGGGACAAAGGTGTCCATAGACAAGAGCTCGGAACCGAAACTGATCCAGATGCTGCTAATAAATATTGCAATGCATTTTTACAGTTTTCTTGTATGGTATAAAGGCTTGGGCAAAGTGTTAGGAATGAGTATACTACCCTCCTCCTGTATCAAGGTTCTTAATTTCTTATACTATCGCCATATTAATGACCCTTTTAATAATCTTGTACAGGTGAAGTGGACAGAGAAAAGAAAGAACAGTCTGAAACGATGCATGAGGTGGACAAAATACTTGTTCACACTAAATACGTTGCTGAGACTTACGATAATGACATAGCCTTAATAAAGCTGAAGGAACCTATAATGTTTTCTGAGTACGTTATCGCAGCATGCCTCCCCGAAGCAGACTTTGCTAATGAAGTTCTGATGAACCAAAAATCTGGGATGGTTAGTGGCTTCGGGCGTGAATTTGAAGGTGGACGACTATCCAAAAAACTGAAAGTGCTTGAAGTCCCCTACGTTGATAGGAACACTTGCAAGCAATCCACTAACTTTGCAGTAACAGAAAACATGTTCTGTGCTGGTTATGAAACAGAGCAAAAAGATGCTTGTCAAGGAGACAGTGGAGGTCCCCATGTAACCAAGTATAAGGATACTTATTTTGTTACTGGAATTGTTAGCTGGGGAGAAGGATGTGCAAGGAAAGGCAAATATGGTATCTATACCAAACTGTCCAGGTTCTTACGCTGGGTAAGAACAGCCATGAGACAAAATTTGTAGTGGTGTGGCTCTTGATCCTTCTCTTAGCTAACAAGGTGCAGTTTCTGTAATGGAAACGTTCTTCTTTTTCTTTTAGCCACATCTGTTAAACTTATTTTTAAGAGTTGATTCCTTAAAGTTACGGTGCTGCTTCTTTTTGTTTTATTCCTGGCTTTAAGCATGTATATGCGGTCTGCTGGTGAATTTGTACAATGAGGGGCTTTCCCCGAACAAAATGACTGCTCAGTGGCATCTTTTGTTGGCTTGTTTGGTTATATTTTTTTTTGGCCATTTGGATTCCTGTCTGTTTGCCCAAGTGCTTCCACCAGAGGCTCCTGGACGTAATATGAGCCTCCACTAATCATGATGAAAGCGGGAAGGACAGGACTTCATATAATCCTCATATTGCAGCCAGCTGGCTCAGTAGGGAGTGTGTTATTGCTAGAGCTGTTCAGCTTCTACCTGCAGATGTATTTAGAAGATGAAGGGAGCAGGAAAGCTTGCATGGTAAAAGCTGAGACACAAGTAAGTATTCAACTTGTGATGCTAAATAACCGCATGTTCCACAAAATTGCCTGCTTAGGTCACAGCAGCTAATTAAAATGGGGTTTTGCTTTATATGGGTTGTACTTCACTTGTTTAATTTGAATACTTCTGTTCGGCTCATCAGAAAAAAAAAAATGTGCATATTTACTGTTTTCTGTATCATGTTCTGGATTGTGTATGGCTGAGGATCGGAAAGCTCCTTGCAAGTGTACTTGTTCCAGATGTTTCTTCTTTAAGGTGCAATATTGATGTACACCAGCATTTGAAATAAAATATTCTTTCTTTTTAGTTCTATTTTTTTATTTATTCCCTCCAGTCAACTTACAAATATATGAAGACAAAATCTCATTTGAGAGTGAAAAAAGAGTGAATGTCCCTAAACAAATACGTGTAACAAATTTCATCTGCCTTATGTCAATGCTGATGAGGAGGTAGAGAATGGAGAGGAGTAATTAAAATTGACTTTCACTGCCCTAGATGTTGATAAATGGCAAGATAGATGTCAAGATGCCAATTTTCTTGGAAAGAGGCAAACTTAACCAATGATTTCCCACACATAGTCTGTTCAGGTACTAGGATCTGATTTGTGCTGTAAGGTTTCCAGGCAGAAGCTCCACACTCTGATGGGGTTATGTGTGTGGAGTAGTGTTCCTGTGTATATTCTTCTTTAAACCTTCTCAGTTTCAGTCCTAGTTACAGAAATCATGGGAAAATTTACAATGGAAGGAACAGATTAAAGTGATCTTGTCCACCCCCATGCTCAAAGCAGGTCTAGCATCAACGTTGGAGCAGGTTATGCAGGGTCTGGTCCAGTCAAGTTTTGAAAAACTTCAGAGGCAGAGATTTTGTTACCCTTTGGGCAACCTGTTCCTGTGCTTTAGTGCTCTTGTGGATAAAATTTCTCATGTCCAATTGGAATTTTCCTTGTTTCAACCTCTGACTGCTGCCTCGTCTTCTTTCTGTGGATACTTCTGGGAAATGGTTGGCCCTGTCTTCACTGTAATCCCCATTTAGGCAGTGGAAGACTGGATTTAGACCCCTCAGCTCTCCATGGCTGAACAAACCCAGACCCCTCAGCCTTTTACTGTACATCATGTGCTCTAGGCCCCTAACTGTCCTGGTGGCCTTTCCAAGGCTGCGCCAATCTATAATGCTCCCCTGTTGCCTAAGGTATACTGAACTTCACCTGCTACTTATCTCTTAGGGTTTGAGCTGGTACTGGCTAGTTTCATACAGCAGGTGCTGTGAGCAAACCTGGTTGAAAAACTAGAAATACAGCTCTGCAGAGCAGCGAGGTGTTGCTGCAGTCAACGGTAAATGCGGGCAAGAAGGACTGCAGGGCAGTTACCCCAGCTTGATGGTCTCCACCTCTATAAACCCTCAGCGGGCTTACTTCAATAAGCAATACTTATTCCCTGACTTCTTCTGTCCACTGGATTCCTGTTCTAATCCCTTGTCACACTGGTAGCCTGCCCTGTGCTCCGTCAGGGTGAAACATCCCTCTTCAAAGAGACAACCTAGGTCCTACCCAAATCCTATTTGTGTACTTGTGCAAAGGGCATTCTTCTACTTCAATGAAGCCTGAGAACTGAAGTGAAACTCAGACTGGACTATATAAGGTGTGGAGGTGGCTGAGGGGAGGACCTCCCGTGGGCAATGGTGGCAGTAGCTGGGCTTTACTAGCTGGTGTGTAGATACGTCCTTGTCAAGCCAGGTAGAACCTTTGAAGAGCAGGCCCAGAGCTGGTTTAACAGATAAGCGCGCAAGAGGGTGGTGAAAGTCCATGTTTGTGTGCAACATGACTGTGTTTAGAAGTGTCATTATTCTGCAGAGTATGAGAGGCTTTGTCCTTGGGCTTCGTAGTCGGAGTATGTCTTCTACAAATGAAACTGGTCCCTAGAGAGCCTTTCATCCTGCGCCGTGGCGCCTACAGTGCCTGAGGCTCAAGGGCTTTATATTCATTCCTCATCCTATAAATGTCCCTGCCATGCTGAGAGGACATGAGTCAAACATCTGCTTGCCTCTTGGCCTCCCACCAAAACCTATATCCAACTGTAGAGCCTGCAAAAAAAGAAAGAATTAAAGCACGCTTTTTTATGTAGACTAATTGTTTGGGGGTAATTTCATATAGCAAAATTTGAACAGATTGTAAAATCCAGGCAAGAGGTACAGCACACAGCTGCTGCGTAAACTGGTGGGTTTTAAAATACCCAAACTCCTCATGGTCAGCAAACACTGCTGGTTTAGGCAAGAGCGGACATTTACCAAGGATGGTGGAAGGAGAAGCTCTAATCCTACCCCTAGTGCTCAGACTTCCTCAGGCTTCAAGGAAAAGCCAGTCCTGAGGAGGAAAGGGAAGAAAGGAAGGATGGTAAGTAAACAGTGCGATCGGTTTGAGGCTTTGGAAAGGACTGATGTGAAGAATAGAAAAGGTAGGACATTGCTCAGGCGTAGGCCAAGATGAGGTACCTGGGCAAGAGGCTCTGTGCATGAGGCACTGGGCTTTGAAAACATTAGGGTTCTTTGGATGAAAATAGAGAAGGCCTGAGGAGAAGCATAGCAACAGCCTTCACACGTGCAAAAGGCTGCTGCAGAGATGTGGGTACTAATCAGATCTTCATGTCTGTGGTGAAGATAAAAAGACAGCACATGTCAGTTGCAGCAAGAAAGGTTCAGGGAGATCTCAGGGAAAACCTGAAGCTATGACTAGAAAAGCCCTCTAATAGATTTTGTCTCAGGGGTGGTGAAGTCTCCAGTGTTGGTAATCTTTCAAAGTGGGAGAGATAAGTCGCTGTCAGGAGTGCAGCAAGATGGGTGCTGCCCTAGGGAAGGAAGGTGGACAAGCTGGCCTTTGTTATGGTATCCTACAGTACGGCAGGAAAAACACACTTTTGCAGGTGCAGTGTCCAAGTAGAACCAGTTTCCCAGAAGGATCCTTTGCTGGAGCCTTGGCCAACATGCCAAGAATAACAGAGACAGATAAACTTGATCCCTTGATGGCTCAGTGAGCTGGGCTGGGTTTTCTGTGAGCTGTTTTCTGTGCTTCCAGGTGAGTAACACAAGCAAAGGGTCGCTGTTACAGTCATGCAGTTGTGACCTGTATAAGCACAATAATAACAAGCAAGGTTTTCCTTCCTCTTTACTGCTCCTTGACACAGGTGACTCACCTGACCGGGTTCTCTTCTGTAGGCACAGACCACAGACTACAAGGTCCTGTCAACAGCTGTCCCCATGGAGCGGTGGGAGCCAAAAAAAACCCCAAAAACCCCACCAACAAAAAAACATCCAGAATAAGGTGGAAATTGATGAATTTGTGAAAGTATGGTCTGGTCTGGTGCTTGGGACAGAGACTGGATTCTGTGCGTCCCAGAGGTCCCATCCAGCTTGCAGCATCTGCAGAGGTTACCTGCTTACCAGCTCCACCTGCGAGCATGGCCATCAATTTCACCCTACTTAGAACACTTCAAACCACAGTGGTTTGGAATAAAAGACACCAAAACCTTGTGCAATACTTTATAGGCCTAACCCAGAAACAAGCTTGAGTTTTCCCTCTTAGGTTTTGGTTTGGGTTTTTTTTTTTGTTGTTGTTTTGTTGTTGTTGTTGTTGTTGTTGTTCTGATTAGCTCCATGCTTATACTTGCTTTCTAAGGCACTACCAGAGCTGGGAGGCAACATCTTTGCAAAAGGCTTACTGAGCTCTGCAGATGTAGTGCCCTGAGCTACTTTCATTTCTGAGCCACTTTCCTGCTTCTGTCCAGCCTTCAGGAGGCACAAAGCTCTGCCTTCCTTGGAGCATGGGCAACAGCTCATGGGCAACACTTAGTCTAGCTCCTTGCTGCTTGGCTAGTAAAGCTCTTTTAAGGAAGCTTCATCTATGTTTCCTAAAGATGTAGAGCCACCCACAGCAGACAGGGAAAAAGGGTCTAACCGTAGACCATGGTCCTACAGAGGAAATCACCAAGTGGCAGCTGGTATCTGGAGTTTTGGTAGCATAAAATCACAGAATCATTTAGGTTGGAAAAGACCTTTGAGATCATGGAGTCCAACCATTAACCCAGCACTGCCAAGTCCACCACTAAACCATGTCCCTAAGTGCCACATCTACATGTCTTTCAAATACCTCCAGGGATGGTGACTCAACCACTTCCCTGGCAGCCTGTTCCAATGCTTGACAACCCTTTGGGTGAAGAAGGCATAACCAAGTTTAACCATGGGACCACACGTTATTCTGCTGAGGGAGAACCTGCCCTGGTTTATGGACTCTCCTCTTCCTGAGGAGTCTGAAATACACAGGTGTCACAGCCTCAGTTGCAAACCCAGCTCCATGCTGCCCATGCAGGAGAGAAGGGTTTTGCCGACACGAGGCACCTTGCAGGCTGTCAAGGTGGCAGTACTGCAGCACAGTGGCTTTTTTTCTATTTTAACATTGTCCCATGCTGACAGTGAGCCTGGGCTTTGCTCTTAGAGGTTTCGTT